GCCACGAACAAGATTATAAATATCAATTTAATTATTCCATTGTTTCCAAGCAGATCAGAATCACACATTAATATGGCTTTATTCCTAGGAATGGAGTCGTCTGCCGTTATTGTTGCTTTACTACAATGCGGAAGAAAACGATTTTTAATGGAGTAGAAGTTTTTATTTTTAGTTCACTTTATTGCTTCTTTTTAGAGCCATGAGTACAGGAGTTCACGTCACATTACGCCGAGATTGGTTTTATTAAACACAATGTCATAAAGTCTTTTTTTTTCATATGCAATTTGTGTGTAGACATGGCAACAGATACGAAACTTTGAATTCAAATTGAGATTGTAAAACAGCGACCTTGTTCGACTTGTGATTTAAAAGGAATAAAAATAATGATTTGTTGTTCAGCAAGAGAATCACTAATAAAATTTTAGTAGTTAATATCTCAGTCAGCTATGACAATAAAATGCTTGGGAGTATAAAAAACATGAAACACTATTAAATTATCAAAATGGAACAAAGTTTTTGATTTATGTAAACACAAGCATAACCTCGTATTCATGATGCGGCGCCAGCTTTAGAAAACGATTGAGATTTATTGAAATTGAAATTTATTGCAAACATGTAAAGAACACAAAACAATTTCTTTGTAACAATTGAGATTTACGGCCAAGGCACTTTGTTATAACATACAGGGCGTCCCAAAATTAACACATGAAGTAATTTGTGTAGAAAACGCATGCTTTAATATTTTTTTTTTTTTAGTAATTCGATAAGTATACAGTTTATGGTTATCATAGCTGCAAACATTTGCATTTTTTGAAGAATGTTTTCTCCCGTGTTTGTGAAATGGTAATTGCATTGGCAACTGTAAGCAAGATTTTTTTGCTTACAGTTTCCAATAAATACATTTTAAATCGTTTGATATGATAAATATGTAAAAATGGATATATATGTCAAATTGGATAATGATAAACATGTAAAAATAGCTATATATGGCAAAATGGATCATGATAAATATGTAAAAATGGATGTATATGGCAAAATGGATAATGATAAATACGTAAAAATGGATATATATATATGGCAAAATGGATAATGATAAATATGTAAAAATGGATATATATGGCAAAATGAATAATGATAAATATGTAAAAATGGATATATATATATATATATGGCAAAATGGATAATGATAAATATGTAAAAATGGAGTTATTAAATAATGCTAAATGATTAACTGTATGCGTTAAATAAATGTGTTTTAAATCAAATTATTTAAATCTGAAGTAAAATAATAAAGCCAAGATTTTTGTTACCACTTAGAGTGTAAAAAAAAAATCTTAAGAAAAAATCCTTAAAAAAATTTACCTTTTCAAATGTAAAACCCGCTTTAGTCTCAGTTAGCATAACGAAACGGTTATGTCTCCTCAGTTTAGCCGGGATATACACGAAATTTTTGATAACCTTTTTGAATATTTTTGGTTGAATTTCCTTTTTGTAATATATCATTCAATTTTTTCTTCTAACGTGTGAGAGCTATGAGATTGCTGGTATAAACCTTAGGCTTAAAAAGAAATAATAATTGTTAAACAAAGATAAAGTTCCTGCGATTTTAAATCACATAATGGACGGCTAATTCTTAATCAACTAAACCTGAGATTACGAAACCAGGGAATGACCCAATAAAGATCAAAGTATTGCTCACCATTGAAAAAGCCTTGTTCATTCGTGTAGCGTTCCTTTTTTAATATCCTCGCCTCGTTCTCTCTTATATAATAACTGCTAATTGTTCCGTTGAGAATTCAAAGATATAAATTCATGAATGCAGAACATCTTGATAGAGGAAATAAATTATGAGCTTTCCGAAAATAAAAATGATAAATTGATTCTTTGATAAATAAAGGATAAAAGTGATGTTTTATCTACCACAATGAGATATCTCGTTTACCAAATGTTATATGTCATTTAGCAAAAAATACAATAAAGTTGAAATTATGGGTATGGAAAAATTTAAAGCAAAAAAAGGGAATGTACTAACTAATGTAACCGGACGAAAAAAAAGAAAGAAAAAAAAAGAAAAAAGAAGAAAAAAGAAAAAGAAATGTTTTAAATTTAATCAGTTAATTCAGATCAGTTTTAAATCTTTGTGTATAACCTTCCTATGTTAAAATTTTGAAATTTCCTTGATAAATAGGTCGAATCGAGTAAATTCTTTCATTACTTTTAAACAGTGGAGAAGTTGATAAAAAAATTACTGTCCAACAAAAAAAAAGAAAAAAAGAAAATACTGCTTAAATTTAAAAAAAAAGAAAAAATCTCAGATGATATCTGCCATTTTTTCCTATTAAAGTCTTTAATATATCTATCTAGAGCAGCTGTGGCTCAGTGGATTGAGCGCCTGCATTCCAATGTGGTGATCCAGGTTCGATCTCAGTGTTTGCTGATCAATTCAAATTCTGCTTTCATCTCGCACAGACATGTAATATCCTTAATTCGTGCAGACATGTAATATCCTTAATGGTAGACGGATCATGAGTTTGAATCTCTTGCAGTCGGCCTAAGAATGGGATGTTTTCGTGGTTTTCCTTTCCATGTAATGCAAATGGGGGTTAGTTTTATCAAAATGCCCACCAAGAATGCTAGTTTGTCCCAATGCAGGAGTTTTCTTCTCTTCTGGATTGGGCTCAAAATAACAAGACTACAGAGTTGAACATTGAAAAAAAAAACAACTTAAGAATAATAGTCGTAAACTTAGAAATAATGCATATTTTGTTTTTTGCAATGCCCACCCGGATATTGACTTTCGTTATTTGGGTATCAGTAGGGCAGATTCGTTGACCACTCTTTTAGGGACACCCTATTAGGTGGACCAACGTACTTCCACAGTAAGAAAGACAGAGAGTACAGAGAAGAGAAGGAAACCACATCCATGCCTCATCCGGAGTTTCGGACCAGGGACCTTTCTGAATGGAGGTCATCTCCCTGACCACCATACCGACCGATCGGCGAAATGATGCATATAAATATATATATTTCCGAAGTTGAATCACAGTAAAATAGGACATGATTAACATTCATTTAAAGTGTTTTAAGATGCGAAACGCTTTATTGAAAAATAAAATCCTTTTATTTCACTATAATAAATTTCAAAATGAAATAAAAAAGGGGATTTAGATTTAACCTTTTAAACTTTTAATTCAGCCTAGTTAAAACTTCCTTGAGAGAAACTAAAACCATCATACAATCATTGATAACAAAGGAAGAAATAAAAATTAAGAAAATAACAATAACCATGAATATTCATAATTCAAATAATAATTTGAGTGACTTTCTCTTTTCGCTATTTAAACAATAAATAAATAAATAGAATAAAAGATAAATAAAATTGAAAAATTAAATAAGTAAATAAATAAATATTAAAATAAATAAATAAATGAATGAATAAATAAATTGAGACTCCCCTTTTTTCTCAGTGGTAACAGAATTATTTATTTTCTTCATTTATTGTTTATTTTTCATACTTTGTCCCTCTGAAATATGAATTCTCAAATTCATTAACTATGATAGCCCTACGCTTAATTCAGTAGCCGTACATATTGTTAGCTACGAAGTATCAGCAGTAAGCTAAGCAGTGGCGTTCTACAACTCCCACGGCACGGGGGTTCGCACACCTTACAAATAAATAACACTCTAGGAATTACACTAAAAATATTTTTTTATTAAAAGATAGTGAGAAAAGTGTCTTTGTCCCCTACTACGGCCCCTGAAGTTGCCTACAGGGTTTTACTTTTTTAGGAATATAAAAAAAGTCATAGAAATAGCATATATATATATATATATATATATATATATATATATGGATTTATCTCCTGCAACTGCTTGAGGGAACCTCACTTGAAACCAGTTTTTACAAATGGATCTATCTCTTTCTACTGCTTGAGGGGAACGTCGTTTGCAACCAATTTTTACAGATGGCTTTATTTCTTGCTGCTGCTTGAGGATAACCTCACTTGAAACCAATTTTTACAGATAGATCTATCTCTTGCTTCTGCTTGAGGGGAACTTCATTTGCANATGCTAAATATATATATATATATATCTTTAGCATAGACAATATCCAATATCCTCTAGAAGAAGTGCAGTGATAATTTAAATTTATAATTTTTGAAAACTACCAAACGTTGTCTTAATTCATTTTACAACAAAATAATTACTCAACGAAAATTATTTGAAATATAAATAAAAATTATGTTAAGACTTGAATAAAATAAATTGTTATTTTTAAAAATAAGAAAAAAAAAACAAATATTTATAGTTGTTTTTAATCAGATAATATTATTTCTTATTTATAAAAATAAACAATATCTTATTTATAAAAATAAAAAATAAGAAAAAAAAACAAATATTTAAAGTTGTTTTTAATCAGATAATATTATTTCTTATTTATAAAAATAAACAGAAAAAATAAATATTTTCCTCATAACTATTTTACTTTTTGATTTAATGTTCCGTTTACAGATGTATTTGTTACTATCATAATTATTTTAAATTAACGGGAATAAAAAAGAAAAATATAGCTAAAAATAACCATGAGAAGTTATAGGATAAGTTTGAAAAATAAAGAAAAAATAATTTATCAGAATGTATATAAAAAATAGAAAACACGTCATTTCTATAATTTATCTTTTCATTAATTACTATAATATACAAATTTTTTCAATTTTTTTATGTTTTACCAATATTATATTAACGTTAGTAGTAAAATGCATAAATATAATATAGAACAAAGCAATACGATAAATAAAACATAACCTATCATGAGCGATTAAAAATTATCTTTCCCATTGATATATTCAGTAAAAAAATTCTATCCTTTCCCCCATATAACAAACACTAACAATTCTTTCGGAGGGGAAATAATTCCTTTCAACGCTCCAATTCGTATCACGTGGGAAATCTGAACCAATAGCATCACGAGTTCAAATAGTCTTAGAAATCTGCGCATTCTGTATGGACAATGGTAGCAGAAATCCGTGGGAGTTGTTGAAGGGAGAGTGTGTACTTAGTGACGATAGACGTTTCACATCAAATGTAAACTTTGAATCTATGTAGTTATAAAAATATGATACTATGGATCATGGATACTGGCTGATGTCCACCCGTGGACATCAAACACATTGGTCAAGATGTTATGGAATACATCGAACAGAATGTAAAACTCACATCGAGTTAAGCATAGCGGAACTCGAAACTTGTATCGTGAAGCCTAACTTGCTATTTGAGTTCGTGGCAACGTAATATGGCGCCCTTCAAGCTTATATTTACGTCAGTATTAGTTTTGATTTCTGTCCATATTATGGTTTTAGAGTGTTCTCGGACTTATTGTTCTGGTCCTATGTGCACTAGGACATCGTGTCCTTCTAGTTGTTCCTGTCTTGGCGGTTTAGTCGATTGCAGTCGTCGAGGACTAGTTGACATCCCTAATGATATTCCGTATTGGGTGCAAATTTTGTGAGTATTATATACATTTTTCTTGTTATTAATATTATAATAATGCCTTTTAACTTATTTTATCACTAACGTTGACTCTTAAGTGCCCTCTAATAGAATATGTCATTTAAATGGCAATTCGAAATGTCAATGTTTACATTTGATGGCTGGGATTCGCTAAGCCTAATTTTATATCTAGTAAACATTCGACCTTTCTGAATATGGATCGATGTCTGTCTTTCCCATTTATTTTGATTGAATTGCCACGATCGTTATATTTAATGATTACTTACATTTTTAAATCAGTATTCTCATTTATTCTAGAATTGTTTACGATGTTTAAATTGTTATTTATAGAAATGTAATTGATTTGATATGGTTATTTTATCTACCTACTTCCTACTTATTGGGAATTTTCTTTCTTATTGTAATTCAACACTATTACACATTAGATTCATATCTTTTTATTTTGCAGTATAAGGAACTTTTTTATTAATTCACCAATAATAATATTCTATATTAAATAAAATAAAGAAAGTTAATTCAATATTGACAGGCAATTTCGGACATTTTGACTTTGTCAAAAGCTATTTAATATTGTGTTTATTTTTCATAGCTTATATATAAATATTCATACTGCTCTTCATGTTTGTAAATTTTAATTCATGAGTATCTCTAAGCATCTGTAACTTTTTTTTAATGTAAAATTTCTCTGAGGTTTGGTTTATGTGCTCTCTGCTTCCCCAATGTTCAACTGCAGACCTTGATTTCATGCATGGATACTTATCCGATCTGGAAGTGCATTAAAAAACCTATTGCATCAAAGCTAATATTTGAATATTCGGTACCATTTTTTGTAGCAAACCAACTTCTATGAAACCAATATCACTATTACTATAAAGTTGATTGCAGAGTTAGATAAATAAGAAACTTTCTGTGAACACAATCTCAACTGTAAAACTTTCTGCGTGCTTTGATTAACCCATGTAACTGGTCTTCCTTCGCCGCTACATCATTCTGACAAAATACGCCTGAAAGTTATGGATTTTTTCAAGAATTTAAATTTTAATAAAGCTTAACATGATGAGTTTGGTAAAAATAAAAGCTAAAAATAGAGATCTAAAAGTGTTCTGTGCCACAACTTGTTTTAGGTATTTTAAGAAAAAAGTGTGTAAAGGAAATTTTTATTCACAGAATATTAGCAACACTTTAATAAAAATATTGATGTGAGATATTATTTATCCATTTAATTGTGAGAATATGAATCTCAATGTCTGGTTTTGTCATTGCGTGAATATGAATCTCGGTGTTTGATTTTATAATCATTTGAATACAAATTCTGATGTATTATTTTTAAGTGACTTTAACATGAATCATAATAGTGACTTTTAAAATGTACGATATTTGATATAAAACTGTGAAAATACGAAACACGACAGCGCGATAACTTAAATCGCTGATCTATTAGTAGGAAAAAAATATTTAAACCAATCTCTCTCTCTTTTTCTTTTATTCTGGTATGTGAAAAAAATTAACTTAAGAAAAGCAGATTATTATTTCTTTTCTAGTAATTATAAAAATATTTCCTCGATCAGCGTTTGTGTATATTATATGAGTCTGGTTGTTTGATGTTGATAATAGATACATTTTTTTACACCCCTCTGAATTGTAAGAACAAATGTGTCGATGCGTTTGGCAGAGTTATTTATGAGTATATTAATTTCATAAGTAAAAGATCTATTTGTACCTTTGAATTATCACGTGTGGTGTTTCAAAGCTTGATAGGTTTTTTTACATTTTATTATTGTAATTTAAGTTGTTCTTTTCAAAATTATGTATTAAACAATACTTCATTTTTTTTAGCATTACGTGTAGTGTTTTTAAACTTTCGCTTGTATGACTGTTACCACACACATATCATGATAGCTAAATAAATAAAGGATGTTAAGGTTAAGGAACAATAGTTATTAATAACGAGGCAAATTTTACCTGATACTTGATCAAGGACTCTCCTTGTCTTCGTAGTTGGACTCTGGTAGTCATATGTTCATGTGTTTGGTTTGGCTGTTCAATGACGGTTATAAAATCTGTCCACTCACTAATATCTAGGCAAAAAGTGGAATGTAAGACTTCTGTCAGGAAACTGCTTGGACGTTGTGTGTCAAACGTGGAGAAATACACTAAAAAAGAGTGTTGATATACGTAAAACTGTTACATATAAGCAAATGATGATTTAACATTGCATGTCCTAAATGTTATTTATGTTTTAATGCTGTTTAATACTACCTCTGTGTATTCAAACAAAAGTACTTTTGATAATGATTTTGAGTATTGGGCCTTTAAGTCTATGTGTTTCACGTTCAAATTCTCTAGATATATTAAAATAGTATTAACACTGAATCATGCTATGAATAATTTAATATTTACATATCTAATGTTGGAAACAATCAGCAGTTTTTTTTAAGAATTTTTTATTAGTGGTCAATGTAAAAGTTTCCATATACATTTCACATGTTAAATAAATGAAAGTTATTATTAGTTCTTGACAAATAATCACAGTATATAAATAAAAATTTTGTAAGGAACTTTCTGAAAATCAGTAGGGAAGATTTCCGTATCGTGATCTGAGGAAGAAAAATCGCCAAGTCTTGGGAACTTCACAGAAAGGGACTAAGTCGAAAGGTGTAACTCGTAACCACCCCCAGGCAAACTTACACGTAATTTTTTTTAAAAAATTTGCAAGTTTAAACCTATTAGGCACCTTGGCGATTGTAGTTGGCGCGACAGATCAGGATACGGAAATATCCCCAGAAAAAGAAAGAACATGCCTGACAAAGAAAGAGTGTGTACAATTAACATAGAATGTGTCATTTTAGTAATTTTTTTAAAGCCTTTCTTTTAAATATATTTATATCTTTTTATTGGCTAAGCATAATTTTTTACATTTTTCCTCGTGTTTCAATTTTTATCATGGTTTATGAACTATTTTTCTTGAATATGTAAGTGGTTGTGTGTAGTGAGAAGGGAAAAAATAATTTCAATTCATTTTTTTTTTTTTTAATTTAGAAATTATCTAAAAGAATTCAGTTACATAGTTTTTTTAGAAAAGCACTGGTCATTGGTCATTTTTTTAATGCCATTCCATGGTTTCTGTAGAATTTCTGCAATTTTGCTTTATTGGTAATAATGTGATGACAGTAATTACATCTATATTAAGCATGTAATAATAAACCAGTGTTATTATTTTCTTAAGATCTGTATTACTTTTAATTTTAAAATAATAATTAAAATGCTATTTAGATGAAATAGCTGAGTTAAATTAATGAAATACTGATTTTTGAAGTATGCAATTAAAATTAATTTTTTTCATGACAGCTTAAAAAAATAATTTTTCAAGTAATTCAAATCTTTTAAACATAAACTTATTTAAAAATGTTTAAAACTGCAATGCTAAATGGGAATATTGGAAACCTTACTGAGTCGGGTGTTATAATTTCACTAGTTCATTGATTCAATAGCTCCTGAGATTTCGAAAGAAAAAAAAAATTATTGTGAAACAACTAAATTCCTTTATGTGTAGTTTACAATTTAACAAATGTAAATGCATTAAAAAAATAAAGATATTCATCTTCAGTGTTGCGTAAATATCTATCTGTGCTGTTTTAATTCCTACTTTTGCAATCTTCAGCTGTAGTAAGTAAAAAATGTATGCATTATAATTATTTTTTGGGGGGGGGGTGAATTCTTAATTTTAATGAATGAAATTCTATTTTTGCCAAATCATAAATGCATGCATGTTTAATGCCAGAGTTCTCCCTAGGAATTTTTTTTTTTAAAGGAGGGCAATCACCATCCACAGTTAAAATTTATTAAACTGTGTGATATGTAATAATGAATAATTAATAATGAATTGAATATGTAGTAATGAACTTTAAAAATTTTTAAATGATCCTCTTATACNAATCAAAAATTTTCAGTGGCTCTTTAAAAGCGGGAAATTTTGTAAAATTGTAACTTTTGGCTCTTTCATTTCAAAAGGTTGCCGACCCCTGTCTTATACTATTTTTTATATATATATATTTCTAAAAATAATTATCTCTCACTATTAAAATCGGAGAAAAATTTGTAGTTTATAAAAATAATTAAAGGCTTGCTAATAAACAATCTCTGTGCATAATTTTCTTAAAAAAATATATAATCTAAAAAAAAGGCTAATAAACAACTTGAAAGCCTTTTTTCGATGACTCAAACTGAAAATGAACATATAAAGGTTCCCTTTGTTTTTTAAAAAAGGTATTTATTTAAAAATTAATTAAAATTTAAAATCCTTATAAATTTTGCTAATACCACCCTCAAAAATAGATTCTTATAGAAATTTAACGGGTTGCGAATCATCCGAACTAAGTAAATATTTTAATAATCAAACCTATAAAATCAGATAATTTTACCTGTGTGTAATTATTATTTAAACATGGAATTAATTTTTTAAAAATGGAATAGGAATGTGTGGCTTTAAGGGAGGTATGGCGGCTTATTTTTACGAAAAAGGGCAAAGAGGGCGCATTTATCGGGATTAAAGGTCAAGCAGGGCGGGCCGCCCTTCTGAAAACGCTTAGAAAGGATGCTGCCAATATATACTGAGAGATTAGGCATTTTGGCAAAGATAATAATTGCGATGCATTGACAGAAATTATCTGTAACTTTTAAAATATGAAAATTAATTAGTAGTATTTCACTAAATAACAGCTAGTATGATGAATTTGAAGGATAGCAAAATTTTATCCGTAAAATATCGACCAAAAAAAAAAGTTTTTTTTTTTTTAAAAATTTTAATATAAATACTATACGTGAAAAGTGAAGGTAATCTAAGATCATTGAATTTGAATAAATGAATTAGTGCACATGGTTTAGAAATTAGAATAGTTTTTACTGCGTGATAGTTTGCTTAATTTAATAACTTTTTGTAGTTTCCTGATGCTCTTAAGGTATGGTTTCTTTTTTAGGCAAGTATCTTTTTTAGT